ACGATTGAGTATGAGTTTTGAAGTCAAAAGACCTGGACTTAAATCTCTTCTGATGGGACCTTGGATAATTAACTTGGCCTTCTTCCACTTTCACATCCTCAATGTGAAGGTGTTGGTCTAGATGCTCATTAAATTCCCTTATATCTTTATTTCCATGATTCTATGACCCTGGGGGAAGAAATGTCACCTCTCAGTCTCAGTTTCCTTATCTGTGAAATGGAGATAATAGTACTCACATTAAAATGTGAATGGAATGGAAAGATCACTGGGCTTGAAGTCAGAAGAAACTGAACTTTAATTACTGCCTCCCATACTTATAGATTGCATAAACATATACCAGTGATGTAGCCTCTCTGAGCCTCAGTTTCCTCATCTATGCAATGGGGAGTATAAAGGCCTGAGGTAGAGTGCTGAACATGGAAGTTGTGAGGACAGATCGGTTGAGAAAGGTATTTGTAAACCTAGAGACTCCATGATTTGGCATCTAATTGGATGTGTGGGCTGAGGCAGAGTGAGACCAATTCGTGAATCCTATCTCTGTGCTGGTCACCTAGTCACTTTACCTTTTTCAGCCTCAGTCTATCTCTCTGATAGTCGCCTACCAAGAATTAGACTTCAGTTATCCTGGTCTTTCCTTGCATTTCTTCTTTATTCTCATTCTCGTTCTCATTTATTCTCATTACAAATCATTTTATTGATAACTTTTGTTTTTCTATCACATATATTTCAAGACATGCCCTTTCCATAATCCCTGGTGAACCTTCTCTTGCAATAAAGTTTAAAAGGAAAATTTAAAAGGGAAAATAAAATCAACATAGCCGTTGGTATATTGATTGTGTCTGACAGCATATATAACACTCTGTGTCCATAGATCCCCATGTCTCCGGTGAAAGAAGAAAGTATATATTTCTTCAAAATCCAACTCAGATACCACTGTATCTGGCAAGCCTTCCCTGATGCACTATCAATAGCAATCTTTTCACTAAGATATTATGCAGATATTCATTTTATGTTTTGACTATTTCTAATTGTAGCTCTCTGAGACTATCTCTAATGGCTGTGCTAGGCTTCAAGCTTCTTGAGGTCAATGATCATGTCTTAGATAAACTTCGTCTACTCCCTGCTTTGCACATTTTTCTGAAACCAGCAGATTTGTAAAATAAATGTTTGTCTTTGTAAAAGAAAAGTGGTACAGAAGAAAAGATCATTGGTTTTATAAGCCAGCTGATCTGGGTACAAATCCTAACACTGTCCCTCCCTGTGGGATATCTGGCACTTGACCTCTCTGAGTATCAGTTTCCCATCCATAAAATAGAACTACTTAACTAGACAGGGTTATTGGGAACAAAGCATGTTTCAAACTTTAAAGTACTATATAAGTCTCCTCTCCCTCCTCCTCCTCTTTCTCTTCTTCCTCCTTCTTCTCTTTCCACTTCCCCTTTTCCTTTTCCTCTTCCTACTCTCCTCCTTCCTGTTCCTTTTTTATCTATTCTCCATTTACTCATCCTTGTTATATTTGTATATAAATTTTATTTTCTTTTACAATTCTAAACTTCTTACTGACCCAAAAACTTATCTTCTTTACAAATTTTCCCTTGATGAAATTATGTGCTTGAAGATCTTGGAACTCTGTAATCACGATGGCACCAAATTTGTGGGTAGCCCCAATACTGATGGATACCAGTTGGGGATAAATAAGCTGGGATGCAAGAAGATGGAAAAGGGATATTATCTAGGAAATGCATGACAAGGACAAAAGATGGCTTGTTCACCTGGGGAGACAGAGAGACAGTATCTGAGAAGTCCAAATGCCCATATTATTGTTATTCAATCATTCAGCCACGTCTGACTTTTCATGACCCCCTGGACCATACTGTCCATGAGGTTTTCTTGGGAAAGACACTACAGTAGCTTGTCTTTTCCTTCTGTAGTGGATAAAAGCAAATAGAAATTAAGTGACATACCCAGGGTCACATAGCTATTAAGTGTCTGATGCAGGATTTAATCTCAGGTCTTCCTGACTTCAGACACAGCACTCTATCCACTGAGCCACCTACCTACCCCTTAGCTGCCCATGTTAGTAGGAATTGAATATTAAGAAACCTTGGGAAAGCTTCCATACATTGAGTAGATCTGCTATGGGGGATTAATAGAGAGACATGCTGTGGATGAGAAGGAGTGGAGGATTTTTGATCTCTACCTTTAGAGGGGGAAACCAGCTCAGTAAAATATGAATCTATTAAACAGTTATCAGATTGTAACCTAATTGAAGTCAGGGGTTGTCTCATATTTGTCTTTGTAATGGAAAAGGTAATAATTATTTATGTAGTATCTACTGTGTATCAGACACTGTGCTAATCATTTTAAAAATATCTCATTTGATCTTCACAATAATTCTGAGACAGGCTCTGTTATTATCCTCATTTTACAGTTGAGTAAACTAAGGCAAATAGAAGTTAAGTCACTCGCCCCACTTACAGCCAGTAAGTGTCCGAAGTTGAACTTGAATTCAGGTCTTCCTGATTCCAGGCTCATTGCTCTGTTCAGTGCACCACCAGCTGCCTTAGTACCTAGCACAGTCCCTGATACAAAGTAGATGCTGAAATGATTTTTAAATTAAACTCTAGTCTCAGTTTCTTCTTTTGTAAAATGAAGAAATTGAAGTAGATGGTCTTTGGGGTCCCTTCCAACTCCAGATCTCTGATCTTATGAAATGTTATTTGGAAAGTCTGATAGGCAAAGAATTCCTTCACTCTGAGCCCTGAGTTTACTAGTTTTTTTGTTCTCAGAGACAAATTGAGTTTGCCTTGTTTTAAAACATCACTATGTATGTGTGCAGACACACAGATACGCACATATATGTATGTATGTATGTATATATGTATAAATAAAATTTGTAGACACATTTATTCATACTGTATGTAAATATTATATAGACATGTGTATTTGGATATAAAGAACATTTTATATATATATATACATATTATATATACATTTCTTTTGGAAGATGACTCTTTGTTTTTTAGGTAGAAATGGTTAAATTCAATGAGGAGGCTGTTCCCCGAGCCTTTTGGGGACTTTTATTATCATTGCCACTAACAGAGAAACTCTGATACTGTCCTACTTGATTCTCTTACTGAGCTCAACATTATATGAATAAAATGTATTTCATTTTTCTTGGGTGGGTTTAGAACTCAGCAAATATCTGTGGAGCTGGGTAATTGCCTGACTGTCACTTATGAGCTTACATGAAATCTAATTTAAAAGAACTAATTTGTAGCAGAATGTTCGACTTGTTTAATAATTTAAGCTAGGAGTGCAAGAACAATTAATGTAAATGGAGAAAATTGGACATCAGGCTCATTTATTATTCTCCTTGCTCTATTAATCTGTTATCAACTGGCATAATCGGTGATCTCAGTTGGTTTAATTACCATGAAGTCTACAATTTAGCTAATCAAAATTTATTGTCAGTTCCTCCAACAAGGTAGAAAACATTTTGTAATTTTGCAATTATGAAAATACATGATGTAGACTCATATGTACATAAGCGGGTAAACATTTTAATGCCAGGGATTTTTTTTTTTTGGCAAATAGTGATGCTCTACCTTACAATCTGACCTCTGAGTTAAGCATGATGAGGTGAAAAAATCCCTTTGAAAAGTACTCATATGGCTGGGGTAAGACTGAATTTATTGTCTTCTTCAGGGGATACGTGATAGCCTCACAGGAGGGTTTTGCATATTGCAGCTGTCCTTATTCTCATAGCATGGAGACTGCTTGCTGTAGGGAGGCAATGAGGTACAGCAGAAAGAGTAGTGGCCTCAGGCTCAGGACCCCTGGGTTCCAGGCCCAACACAAAAGATCCATCTAGATGACCCTGGATGGTTCATTTCATTTTTCTGGGATTCCATTTTTTCTCCTGTAAATGGGAATAATGATACTCATTATATCTATTATCCCAGTCTGTTGTGAGGGAAAATGTCCTTTCCCTCTATTGTATTTCACCTCCCTCTCTATGTTTTCACTTGGCCATCCCATCAGCTTTCATGGTTTCAATTATCATCTTTCTGGGGATGATTCTCAGATCTCCTTTTCTATCCCTAACCTCTTTCCCTCACATCTCAAACTGAATGTTCTGTACACATCTTAAACTCAACCCAGTATCTTCCCCCACAAAAAACTTGTCTTCTTTTGAACTTCCCTATCACTCTCAAAGATACCACCATCCTCTGAGCTATTTAGCTGCCATCTCAATAACTCACTCTGCCCCCTACTAGCCAAGCTATTGCTGAGGCCAGGTGCAACATCTCTCGGACAAGTTCTCTTTTCTCCTTTGACATTGCCACTACCCTGTGGTAGGCTAGGTATCACATCTGGACTGTTATAACAGCCTGCTGGTTCTCCTCCCTACCTTGTCTTTTATAAACCGCTCTAGCTCTTTCTCCATTCAACTGTCAGATTACTCTTCCTAAAGTACAGCTCTGACCATTTTACCTAGTGTCCTATCTCACCTCTATGATATAGGATAAGCACTTTAATAATTGATGGGAAAGCAAAGGAAAAAATAGTCCTTGCCTTCAAGGAGCTTACATTCATTCTGGGGAGAGGACATGTACACATAACTATAACTATACATGCATACATACATATATATACATATATATATATACACACACACATATACATATGCACACAAACCATTATTACAAGTTATTTACTTAATTTTTTCTCACTTGAGGAGATCAGGAAAACCTGAATGTAGAATATAACAATCTGAATTTTGAAGGAAAATAGGGATTTTAAGAGAGAGACATAAGGAGAAAATGCATTTTAGGGAGGACCGCCAATGCAAAAACCCAGACATGGGAGCTGTCCAAGGTCCTTTCCAGTTCTCCATCCAGTGATTCCTTTAATGTGACATTATAACTTGTGCAGTTTACAGAATGGAGTACAAACTAAAGCCTAACCAAAAGGGTGCTTTTTTCCTCTTACTGCAGCTTCGCAAGGCCATTATTGACCATGTGTCAGACTCTTTCTTGGACACAACAGTCCCGCTTCTGGTTCTCATTGAAGCAGCCAAGAATGGGAGGGAAAAGGAAATGAAAGAGTATGCTGCTATATTTCGTGAGCACACCAACCGTCTTGTGGAGGTAAGTTTCTGGGCTCTGCTTTGAGATAGATGCTGGGATGTGGGCAGCTGTTTTGTTTCATTGCAAGATCTCCTGGATGTGCCATTGATAGATAAGATGCTAACAAATAAAGGCATCTTATTGGATACCTTAAAAAGTTTGGAATATTCTTCAATAATTACCCTGCTTTCCTTAGAGAGCTTCTCATCCAACTCTCTTCTTTTCAAGATAAAGAAATTGAATTTAACCAACTTGCCCAAGGTCACACAACTATCTTGTAGAGGAAATAAAACTAGAACTTAGGTTAATGGACTCCTTTTCCTCTGGTTTCCCTACAACATTTATATCTAATATATAAATATATTATACACAGATAAAGGATAAAGGGGTAGAGTTGTGAATGCTTTCGTATTAAAAATCTCTCATAGAAGGGAGAAGTATTTGCAGTTGAGAAAATGATGTGACTAAAGGATTTTGTTGAGCAGAAAAAACAGTTTCACTGGCTATAAAAGAAATTTCCTTTCCTTTAAAGCAAGGTCCGTAACTTTCCTAGCTTATTTTACTTTTTTTTGGATGTGTAGGGTGACCAAATGGAAAGGACTCTGGACTAGGAGCCAGAATACTTGTGTTCAATCCTATCTTTACCATCTCCTAACTTTGTGACCCTGAACAAGTCATTTCTCTTCTCTTTGGCTTGGTACCCTAAGTTGGAAAAAAATAGAAGTATTGGAATAGATAATTAGCTAACAAATATTTCTAGTTAGGATATCCCTTTATAATATAAAAAAATAGTGTCATGGGTTTCATTTATGATCATATTGCAGAAACACAGAATCTTAGATTGGAAGAGATCTTAGTGGTTATCTAGTCAACACATAACTCCAAGAGCATTTCTTCTAGAGCAGTCATGGTTTGAAGACTTTCCATGAAGGGGAGCTCACTATATCTGGAGGCAGTTGATTCCATTTAGCAATGAGTCTAATGGTTAGGAAGGCTTTTTATTGTAAATGGGTCTAAATTTGCCTCTGCAACTTGAGTAGTCATATTAATAACACATCTGTTGTTGCAAAAATGCATAGTGACAAAAGTCTTATGAATTCTGTGATATTTCCCATGAATTTCTGTTTTATTCATTACAACAGCATCTACGTATATCTGAAAGACAGTATACAAGAGAACTATTATTGCCTACAGAAGGGATATTGTCTTATTTATGCATTCTCAGACCCAATATAATAACTCTGTGTCCTTCCACTTACTCAGAGATCCCTGGCCCCCAGGTAGGCAATCCACTTAGATGCTCCTCATGTTCCCTTCCAGGTGTAAATTTCTTGTGACTTTATAATCTGTGGACAATTTAAAAGAATAAAGTCACAAACATTAGTGTTTTTGAAAAAATCCCTTTATTCTTGATAAATCCAGAAAGAAGAAATAACATTCATTACCTTAAGAAATATAAATATAGGAGAGAACAGATATGATTGAAACAGAGGCTCTTCTGCCATTCATCTTTGATGTCTTAAGAAAGAAAATGAAAAAGAAATTGTAGATGGGATGTTGATCTCTTCTGGAAATGCTGTTTTTGAAAGGAGCTGTCTAACCAAAGCACTATAGAAAATAATCACTAATTTACTCCAGACATTGAGGCAGATGTGTCCATAACAAAATCCTGGGGAGTAGGAGTTATTCATGGTCTCTTTTTCAGAGAACAGTGCAATTGCCTTTATAAAAGAAAGTCACCTCCAACTCACACCTCCATCCCCTGCTTCTCCACATAGAACTTCCTAGACCAGTGATTTAACATAATGTTACAGAAACCCCTAGGTTTTAAACCACTTCCAGGGGTAGGGATGGAGGGTCTGCTCTTTTGAACACTTACTTTATAAGTTTTTATGCTTCTTCTGAGTTTGGCAGATGTTTGTAAAAATCAACAGATTCTTAATGTAAGATTCAGACAAAAATTAAAATGCAAGTTGTGTTTGTATGAGACATTTTGTTTTAGCAAATTATGACCACACAGCATCATGGGATTATAGGATCATCATTTTGGAGCTGCAAAGGGTCTTAGACATCACTTCCATTTTACAGTCAGAGAAACTGAGGACCAGAGAAGAAGTGACTTGTTCATTACTTAGCTAGTTAAGTGTCTGAGAGGAGAATGTGAACCTAAATCTTCCTGACTCCAAATGCTCTAACTGCTGCACCACAATCTTCAGAATTAGCTTGTTGTGGTTCAATCATTTTAATTGTATCTGACTCTGTGATCCCATTTGGAATTTTCTTGGCAACGATATTGAAGGGTTTTGCCATTTCCTTCCCCAGCTCATTTTACAGATGAGGAAACTGAGACAATTAGGGTTAAGTGACCTGTCCAGGGTCACACAGCTAGTAAGTGTCTGAGGACAGATTTGAATTCAGAAAGTCTTCTTGATATCAGGCTTGGTACGTTATCTTCTATGCCACCTAGCTGCCTCTCTTTAAAAGAAAAGACAAAGGTTATTATAGAAATGTTCCAGTTTCACTTAGATTTCTATTTAACTTGTACAAATGGATCTATGCTTTCATTCAAGTGAATTCCATCTGTGCTAATGCAAGTTCTGATACTTCCATGCTTTCTCATCCAGTGGGACTATTGCCTGTCTTTTCCTACACAGACAATCTAGCTTCTGATGTTTTTGTTCTTTTGTGGCTACCTGTGCATCTCACGGGCTATCTATCATCTGTTCTCCCTCATTGTTTTTATCGCATGACCCACTCAACTCATTGTCCATTTAGGGCTTGATGCTATGTTTGTTCTCGCTTGCAGTTCCATTCAGTTCACACATTTGTTAAGTACCTGTTATTCATAGACTTTCTGTTTGGTTCCTAAGATACAAAGACAAAGTGTGGCAAAAGTCACTATACTGAAAGAGTTTGTGTTTTACTGGATAAGAATGTCATGTACACCAGAGGTTCTCCCATTTCTTTTCATTCATAGCACAACATTATTCCTTTCCTTGAGGAATTGTGATACAGGAGGCTCATACACATATGAGTAATTTCAGATTTAAGTTATGGGGAAATTACACCTGTGATTGCATGTATAAAGTGCACACAGCCTGGGGCACATCTAGTAAAAGTTGCACAACATTAGCATGCCACTGCATGCCCTTTGATAGCCACTGATGTACACATTGTTGTTGTTCAGTTATTTTTCAGTCATATCTGAGTCTTTGTCACCCCATTTGAGGTTTTCTTGGCAAGTATATTGGAAAGATTTGCCCTTTCTTTTTCCAGCTCATTTACAGATGAAGAAACCTGAGGCAAACAGGGTTAAGTGACTTGTCCAGGGTCACATAGCTAGTAAGTGTGTCTGAGGGCAGATTTGAACTGAGGAAGATGAGTCTCCCTGACTCCAGACTTAGTACGCCATACACTATGCCCCCCCCAGTTGCTCCCACATTGTTATGTACACAGTAGGTGATTAAAAAGCATGTACGAAGTCAACAAAAAGTAATTGAAGGTTGTGTGAATGCTCATAGTTAGGAGGACCAGGAATGGCTTTATTTAGAAGATGGCATTGGATTTGAGACTTGGAATTGATCTAGAGATTGTAAAAGACACAGGTAAGGTGGTAGGATGTCTCAGATATAGTAGACAGCATGTACAGAGGCATGAATAGAGCAATGAGATGTTACATGAAAAGAAGCACAACTAAGCTACTGTGGCTTGAATGTACAATGCATGGGGAATAGTGGGAAATAACTAGAAAGGGAGATAGGAACCATGTCTTGCCAGGAGATAAATGCCAAAGAAAGCATTCTGGATTTTGTTTTAAAGCAAGAGGGAGCCTCTGAAATTTTTGTTTTGTTTTGTTTTGTTTTGTTTTTTGAGCAGAGGAGTAACATGTTTAATCTTTAGAAATATCAATTAGGCAGCTATAAAAAGGAGAGATGGGAGAAAAGAGAGATGGAAGTAGATAAAGAGATATGGAATAAGACTAATTCATAGGAAACTGAAACATTTCAGGCAACAGGGGTTTGAATATACAAGTCAATACTTATACCTAGAATGTATCTTACCATTGCCAGTTTGGTTACCTGAATTCCATCTGAGATGTTTCTGATCCATAATGGACAACCAGGGAAGCATTAATGGATGACTACTTTAATGGAGATTTCACCTCTCAGGATCACTGAAAGGACTCTACAATTCACCACTAGGAATCCAGACCTCTCTCTTCCTCATCAGACCTGATCATTTAGTGACTGTCCAAGAGAAATGCCCTGATAGTTTTATTTAGTGGGCTGTCCATTCAACTGCATGCCATCGAGATGTGGGAAAGAGGTATTCTATGCTGATTTGGGGGGAGGCAGTGAGTATACCTAGGCCAATCACTTTTTAATGCCCATCAATTTCCTTGAGGAGGACTGGTAGTATTCTAGAGATCAGTGAAGCCACCATACTAGTATGCACAAATATTCTTATTCATAGGATCTCATTCTTTATAAGGAATTCCCCCTCAATTGAAAAATTTCTTTAGGACATCAACTATAACATTTGCCCAATACCTTATCCCACACATACATCTCCTTAGTACTAATAAACAAAGGATTGCTAAGTTAAGTGAGATTTTTTTTAAAGAGGATAATGAATGAATGAATGAATGAAGAAAAAACTCACAATTATTAAGCTTTTACTTCATGCCAGGTGCAGTGCTAAGTAAAAGGGATATTTTTTTCTTTTTTTTTCCTTTTTTTTAAATAAAAGAGTTCTTTGTTTAAAGAGGGGAATAGGGGAATACAACATGCAAAAGAGAAAGCTGATCATGGGAGTAGATTTTATTCTGGTTTGTGGAGAAAGGGAAGGGAGAAGATGTATGGGTGACATCAAACAGATCATAAAACAGCCTGAGTTCATACCTGGCTGAGACATAAAACTGAAACCGGGTCCAGTGTCTAGGATCAGACAGTATATAGAGTGAACTAAATGGGTCAAGTTGTAGATACTTATTCTTCCATCAACTGGGTGACATCCCTAGG